TGTTATAATATACCTTTACTGAAATTTTTTGTGGACTTTCATCATTTTCTTGGTGTAAAAGTAGGGCTCCAAATCAATAAAAGCACTGTGTATAATATTGTGTGCATTTAATTATTATGAAAATTATTGATGATGATGGAAAATATATTACATTCAATGTAATTATCATTTAATTTATGATAATTAGTAAATTTTTAAAAACAAACAAGATACATCTAGGTTTACAATCTCTTATTTATTTTTTTAATATTATAATAACTAAACAAGGGGTAAGAATGATGTTCTATGTAATAAAAATACAAATTTCACAATGGGAAAGCTTATAATTCGCATTCAGTTCAAAAGTTTAAAAATTGGTAAAATTAATTAAAATCATATGTCAACTGGATAAATACTTATTTTAACTAGAACTTATAAGTATATAATTTTATTTTATTTTTGCATTGAAAGTCGGTATGTTACTCTTAATTTTTCTAATAAAATTTTAGTTACTTTCTACGATTAACATTTTCAATTTTGAAATACTTTATATATTTTAGTTTTTACCTTTTTTATCTGTAATATAGCACATCACTTCTTTCCAATGATGTTTGATTTGACAATATATTGTAAATAAAATAAAAATAATACAATTGTTTTGTTGATGCTAAAAAATGTCAGCAACAGGGGTGAACCGTACACAAAATTGTGCACTTTGCTCAATCTGCACGAGTAGATTTTTTTAAAAAACATAGGTAGGATACGTGTTCTATTCGTGACTTTTTGATATATCTCTTTTGTGAGATGTGAGATGAATACATGAATAAAACCATCCGAAAGCAAGAAGCCAAAAAATGAAGATGAAACTTATTTTTATTGATATCTTGGGAAAATCTCCCTCCCTCTCTCTCTCTCTTCAGATTTTTTTGGATAGGATGAGATCCTCTCCCTTTACCATGATCTTAGCCAAATTTATATATGGTATAGCATGTGGACGTAAAGTCATGTGAATTAAAATAATGCAAATGATATTTTAATGGGTTGTAATTTTATTAATCGTAACCAAATTGGGTATCACCATGTTTCTATCGGTATAATATAATATAAATATATATAAATATATAATATAATTGTTTCTATTGATATTTTTTTTTCACGAAACGATAGAGGATATTATAAAACAAAACGCACAAAAGTGCAAAGAACACAGGCCCTAGCTGAATAATACAGCCAACAGCTGAAAACAGGGAAGACAGGTCGAAGACCGCCTAGAACCCGACTAGCAACGCTAGAAAAGAAACTCAAAACAACACAACACAACACAACGATATAATATATATATATACATATATATATATATGGACATAATTATGTTGTTTTTGAAAAAATATATTAGGAGTTCATTTATTCTATATTTTATTTTGTTTTTGTAATGATATATTTAATAAATTAATTATTTTATTCCACTAAACTTAATCAATAAAAAATATTCATCATCTATGTGCATTTATTAGTATATATAAAAAAAAACCAGAAAATAAGATTCTTGGAAAAATTGCACTATTCGTCCACTAACTATACTCTCGTTGCACTTTCGTCCTTTAATTGTTTCTGGTACAATTGGTACACTTACTTTTTTTTTTGGTAATTTTAGTACAAAATGACATTCCAGTGCTTATTTTCGCCGGAATAGCTGATGTGCCGCCCAGTCAGATCGGAATTCTATTCTCGGCGTGATGTGGCACGAGGTGGCGCCTAGTCAGATCGGAAAAATTGCACTATCAGTCCACTAACTTTACATTCGTTGCACTTTCGTCCTTTAATTGTTTATGATTTACAAAATCAGAAGATAAAAAAATATTAAGAAAATCAAAAAATAAAAAGAAAAAGCTTTAAAAAGAAAATGAAAAGACATGTGGATAAAAAAATTAACAAAAAAAAAAGAATATTAATTAATAAAAAAATCATTTTGTTTAATGATTTTAAACAAATTAAAAAAATATATCTTTTTTAAATAAAAATACATTTTTTTATTTTATTAAAAACAAAATAATTAATAAATACCGAAATGAAAAACAAAATAAATGTTTTATGAGAAATAAATATTTTTTATTTAATGGTTAAATATTTAATAAAAAAGAATTATTTATCATTTTTTTGTTTAATGAAAAAATATTTTTTATTTAAATAAAAAATAAAAAATATTTAATTAAAATAGAAATGTAAAACGAAATAAAAATTTAATAACTATATTTTTATTTAATGGTTAAATATTTAATGAAAAATTAAATATTTAATAAAAAAATATTTTTTGTTTTTTATTAAATATTTCGTTTTTGTATTAAATACTTAATCATTAAATAATAATATTTATCACTCATTATAAATTTATTTCGTTTTTATTAAATATTTCATTTTTATTTAATCATTAAATATTTCATTTTTATTAAATTAAAAAATAATTTTTATTAAATAAAAAAAATATATTTTTTTCTTTTTCTTTTAATTTTTCCTTTTTCTTTTTAAAGCTTTTTATTTTTCTTTTGATTTTTTTAATATTCTTTTCTGATTTTGTAAATCGAAAACAATTAAAGGACGAAAGTGCAAC